AATGCCTGTTCATTTGGTAGTTTAAACCATATGAACAGCATTACCCCAGATAGCCATCCCGTTGTAGCGTTACTTACCTTATCCAGGGGCCGGCCGCGGTCCTCTCTTCAAGCCGCGCGCGGTCCTGCTGCTGCACGAGCCGCGCGCGGCTCATCCGACGGCTTCAATAGGAAGGCGGGCAGTGACCGCGAGAGGCGGGCAGTGACCGCGAGAAGCGGTCATGTGTCCCGCCTGAATCTAAGAGCGCGCCGTGAGTCGCGGGTGCGCTCTTAAAGAGACAGTGGGAGCCTAAATTGTTAAAAGGCGCCCATTGGCCCCTGTCATGCCACACTCCCCATACACTTACCTTTTGGGGGTGTGGATATGACAGGAGCCAATCACATTAGTTTTGAAGCTATGTAAACTTACCTCTCCCTTTACTCCTTGCCCTATCGTGGTTTCTGTTTCAGTTCCCTTTAGCGCTTGTTGTGTTCAGTCGTGTTTTCTTCGTATTGACTTTGGCTTTGTTTCTGACTACGTTTTCTCTTTATCCTTATCTGTTCTGGTTGTCGGCTTGCTGTTTACTGTGTACCAGACCCCGGCTAGTCCTAGTTTACGCTGTCTCTCTGTGCCCTTGACTTCGGATCGTTCCTGACTCTGCCTCCTCTCATATACGTCGAGTCCGGCCATTCTAAGGTCCGGTAGACGTATCTCTCCTCTGTGTTGTCTTCTGTTTAGCTGAATCTTGCGTGTTGGGGTATTTTCTCGTTACACCCGTGGAGCCTATTCGTATGGAGAACAGACTTTGTGAACACTTTAACTCCACGGCGATTGGACTGTGTGCATAGGATCTGAGTGCTATTCGGTACTTTTGTGCGCTCAGATCACAGCTATCTGGGGATGGGTTGCAAGTATATATTTTGTGTGATAATTGTAATATTGTGTATTTTATTGTGTTTCAGTGTTTTATTGTAACCATGTGGGTAATGGAGTTTTGCCTCTGTCCTGGGAGATAATTGGATTACTTCCCAATTATCTCCAGGACAGAGGGAGGGAAGTTAGGATGCATTGTGGGGATGTTTTACCTCTGTGTGTCTGTCATTGGTTCATGTCTGTCCTTTGTCACAGTCTCCCATATGGTCCCATAGGGGAGTGTCCACCAGGTGGGAGACCTGCATAAATACTGGGCAGGTAGAGCTCATTAAACAGATCACTGCTTGACCCTCAACACAGCTTTGTCTCGTTCTTGGGGGGATGTATTGTATGCGGTTCCAGTTCGACTGCTAGGAGTGTAAACCTATTCGTAAGTTTTTTCCTATTCGGCTGTTTACGGCATTCATGTGGTTTCCTGTTCGGCGGATTGGTGTTCTGAAGTAGCTGTGCCTGTGTATCTGGAAGGGAAGATCTACTAAACGGCGGTTTAACCCTTTTATGCCTGGGGGTGCCGTAACACTACTATTGTGAATAATTTTTATAATTTTTTATAATTAATTTTTTATAATTGATTCTTCTATAGTCTGTTCTATGTCGATATAGAAAATCACATGTACATGATATCATATAAAATGTCCCCTTATGTTTTCTCTTTTTTTTTGGTAATTTTGGAATTTGTAATGAAATTTTTCATTTTTAAATCTATATATGTGCTTAATGTCATTGTAGCGGTACTTACCTTATCCGGGGGCCGGCCGAGGTCCTCTATTCCCACCGTGCGTGGCTCGCTCAGAGCTCAGATGAAGGCGGGCACTGACCGCGAGATGCGGTCAAGTGTCCCGCCTAGCTCTAAGAGCGCGCCGTGCGTCTCGGGCACGCTCTTAAAGGGACAGTGGTAGCCGAAATGTACAACGGTCTCCCATTGGCCCCTGTCACCCCACATTCCCCATACACTCACATTTTGGGGGCGTGGATATGACAGGGGCCAATCAAATTAAAGGCTAGGGTATTTATACTTACCTCTCCCTTAACTCCCCTCCCTATTGTGGTTTCTGTTTCAGTTCCCTTTAGCGCTTGTTGTGTTTAGTTGTGATTTTTCGTGCTTGACCTTGGCTTTGTATCTGACTCCGTTCTCTTTATCCCTGTTTTGTCTTGTTTGCCGGCTTACTGATTACTGTGTACCAGACCTTGGCTAGTTCTTGTTTTTGCTGTCTCTTTGTTCCCTTGACCTCGGCTAGTTCCTAACTCTGTCTTTCTCTGCTCTACGGCGAGTCTGGCCATTCTAAGGTCCGGTAAGACGTATCTGCTCTATATTGTCAATTGTTGGACTAAATCTTGCGAGTTGTGGTAAACTTCCATGACAGTCATTGTGGCGAAACCAACTTTGCCACTGGGCATTGGAGAAGCCTGTTTGCCCTCCTCCTGGTTCAGCTATACGAACGACGGCCACCCAGCATTCGACAATTAAGCTGTGGTTAACCGCAGCTTCTTGGCGGTAAATTGCATGCACACTCCACCTGTAGGTGGTCCAGCTGTTCGGTGAATTCAATTTACTGAACGGCATAGCAGAAACGCATGAACAAGCCTTTCTCCAGCAAAGAATACAGGTTTTAACATAGGGGGCATAGTCCTGAAGCAGCAGGCGAGCAACCAGGCTTCTCCAGATTGCGAGGTTATTTTCGCCACAGTAGCATACTCATATTTTTGTATACTATTGTCTTTGGTGACAAACTGCCATTTGCCACTGGGCATTGGAGAGGACTGATTCCCAGCCTCCTGCCACATGACTATGGCCCTGGGATATATGGCATTTGAAAACCCAATTTTGCCCTGTGACAAAACTGGAGATTGTGCACAAATATGACTATTGTCCATATGTTTTATGATTCCCTTTGATTGTTGCACTGTTCCCTACGTGTTTCAGCTGTTGGTTCGGCTGGATAGACTATCAGACAAACTGTGGAGTTACTGGGTGGCCACCATTTCATATATCAGAGGCACATAGTGAGAAAAATGGATGTGGCCATTTTAACTCACAGACACTGTTTGGACTTTCTACACGGTGCCATCTCGCCAGTATTTGGTGCACGAAGACATCGTTCAGTAGATTTAAACTACACAACAGGGGACACATTATACAGTAATTATTTTCTTATAGCCTGTACGTGTTCTGCAGAATCTGCATTAAACTGCATCTTCCAAACTACTGAACGGATCTGGGTGAATTTGTGGTTCACCCAGATCCTCCGGTTCCGAGGATATACTTTTTATGGGGTTATTGCATGTTTTGGGCTGTGATAATTAGATTAACTATGGTGTTCAGTAATCATATCACAGGCAGAGGGGAGGATTTTGTGTGGCAGTGTCTGTGTGTATTGTATGGATTGATTGGCTGTGTTTCAAAACCCTGTGGGCAGTACTATATTTGTAGATTGTAAATAAAAGAGGCTGTATGTGCCAGTCCAGTCAGTTCTGCTTGACCTTAAAACCCTTCTGGGTCCGGATGAACTGGATTCGTCTGATCCCCAGGTCACGGCACCAAATTGTTGTGGATCCAAATAATGATCTTTGTTGTATTCAGAGGAAGCCCAAAATATTATTACAAGTGCACTTGGAGAAGCGAGAATTAGACACCAGACACCTGTTGGTATTCAAAATAAGCCTCTGACGTTTTATTAATCAGCTGGGTTTTATACATTAAAAAGTAAGTGCTTACATGCAAATATTCTTAGAACAGTAATAGGAAGGGAGTACAGATAAGGGATGAACATCATGTACACATAACAAATAAGTTCCAAGGTAAGAAAGAACAAACAGATTAGAGAAGAGACATTTCAGGTGGGGGTTCTCTGCTCCCGGAATTAGACATATATGGTCTTAAGTGTTGTGTTAAGCATCAAGCATTTACTGAGTCCAAGTTAGCCAATTTTAATATAGGATATAATTATACGACACCTATGAGCTTGAGCCTTGGAATCAAGATAAATTATATCATACCCCTCCCACCCTCACTGTAACTAGTCACCCCCTCCCTCACTCTGTCACTAGTCACCCCTAACTGTCACTAGTCACCCCTCCCTCCATCACCCCTCCCTCCCTCACTCTCACTAGTCACTCCTCCCTCCCTCTGTCACTAGTCACCCCCTCCCTCACTCTGTCACTAGTCCTTCCCTCCCTCACTCTGTCCCTAGTCACCTCCTCCGTCACTCTGTACCTAGTCACCCCATCCCTCCCTCTGTCACTTGTCACGCTTCACTCTGTCACTTGTCATCCCTCACTCTGCCACTAGTCACTCCCTCCCTCTGTCCCTAGTCACCCCATCCCTCCCTGTCACTTGTCACCCCTCACTTTGTCACCAGTCACCCCCTCCCTCACTCTGTTACTATTCACGCTTCACTCTGTCACTTGTCATCCCTCACTCTGCCACTAGTCACTCCCTCCCTCCCTCTGTCCCTAGTCACCCCATCCCTCCCTGTCACTTGTCACCCCTCACTTTGTCACCAGTCACCCCCCTCCCTCACTCTTTTACTAGTCACCCCCTTACTCTAACTAGTCACCCTATCCCTCCATCTGTCACTTGTCACCTCTCACTGTTTCACCAGTCACCCCCTCACTCTGTCACTGTGTCACCCCCTCCCTTACTCTGTCACTAGTCACCCTCCTCACTGTCACCCCCTCCTTCACTCTACCACTAGTCACCCCCTCACTCTGTCAGTCACCCCTCCCTCCTGTCACTAGTCACCCCCCTCCCTCCTCCCTGTCACTAGTCACCCCATCCCTCACTCTGTCACTAGTCACCCCCTCCCTCCCTCACTCTGTCCCTAGTCACCGCATCCCTCCCTCTGTCACTTATCACCCCTCACTCTGTCACCAGTCACTCTCTCTCTTACTCTCACTAGTCACCCTATCCCTCCCTCTGTCACTTGTCACCCCTCACTCTGTCACCAGTCACTCTCTCTCTTACTCTCACTAGTCACCCTATCCCTCCCTCTGTCACTTGTCACCCCCCTCACTGACACCCCCTCCCTCCCTCTGTCCCTAGTCATCCCCTCCCTCCCTCACTGTCACTAGTCACCCCCTAACTCTGTCACCAGGTCACCCCCTCCCTCACTGTCACCCTGTTGGAGATAAAATCAGCGTTGAACATCATAAAATAGCACATAAAGTAGCAAGCCGGAGTAATGCCAAACATCCATCATATCGGGTTTAAACAATATTCCCTTTTAACCCCCCACCCCCTCTTTGGATCAGGGTCTTGGATTACCAGTCCACCCAGTGATCTGGGGCCAGGTCAAAAAACCCAGTCGCAAAAACTCATATTTGAGGAAAAAAGCACATCTCGGGAAACTCTAAGTGAGGGCCATGACTGTGTAGACATGTCATCCCCTCACCTTGACAGCATTAGTGACTTATAAAACCCGCACTTGTAAGTAAATAGCTCGGGTATCGGGATTGGGAAACACTTCTTGATGAGTTTGAAAAGGCCCACTTACATATTAAATCATGAGATAATTTCTAATCAGTTTGCAATTCTAACAATAATCCCAATCATGACCTTGCATCCTATGTCTCCCAATCACATCTCTATTTTGATGGTCTAGTCATACCCACACTCAATACATGGGAATTCATCCTTGGTACACTTAACCTACATCAATGACACACATAGTACATCCATGCCTGAGTAAGCTAACACTTCCTCTCTCTCCAGCTAACTCTACAAAAATAAAAATAACAAAATAGTTCAATAGACCAGCATAGTCCAGAAAAATAGAATAAGTCTTTCAAGGAGTATAAAGAATCTTAGACACCATAAACTTTGTTCCATAATCTTAGACACCATAACATAGCTAAGGGTAGCTAAGGGTAGCAATATGGCTGACAACAAGACATTGTCAGCTTCCACATAGTTCTTAATTCTTCTGTTTGCTGCATGTTCACCACAATACTCTGTGCAACACCCCAATTTTTAAAAGGGTAACACAGAAATAGCGGCATTAGACAGCACTGCACCTTCAGGACTTTCCAAGTTAGTTTATGTCCCCATAAGTAAGCATCTCAGTTTCTTTGGCATGGTTTTTGACCAAACAGATTTAATTGCAAAAAAAGGTAGGTAGGCAGGTAGGTCAGCCAGAGAGATTGGTGTGTAGTCCCAAAATCAGGCGGCACAAATACTCTAGTACGGTCTCTATAATCATACAAACAAGGATCAGTACGACATCAATAAATTAATTATCTAGGCTAAACTCAAATTAGAGACTAATTCATTGAATTTGTCCTTTATAAAATTTTAATATATAATTTCCCTTTAGGATGCCTTTGTATGGATGAGAGAAGCACTCATTCTATATAAATGCTTGTTGAGTACTAAAACAGTAACATATACATATTGGAATAATTCCCAATAAAAAGCTGTTCTTAAATTTAAACCTTGATTTGATAATCCCAATAATTACTTTAATAAAATTGGAATGCTGAAGTCTGTCAGTTTTGTGGACCCTGATAACATCTTTGGAAACCGAAACTTTTTATAGATCCCGATGTCCAAAAAGCCACCAGTTCTGTATGTGTGTGATCATGTTTTAATACATGGTGAAACCTCCATACAGTTATCCCACTTAAACAATATTTATTTTCAGAACAACTAGGAATGAAATAGGAGAAACAAAATGAATTACTATTGTTCTAAAGTGCTTTGTTTGAAAATACAGGTTTCGGAAGAGTTGTCTTGCTGTGTTAAGGTTGCAAGTGGCCTCTGATAAGGCAAACAATGTCTAGGTCCCATCTTCAGCTTGTACATCCTCTAAGAGCCAGCATTAAACTATATATAAAGTATTAAAAACATGAACCATCAGTGTATTAGGCTGAGGTTGTTGGGTGTGGGTATAGCTTGGAAGTTGTGGTTGGTATTGAGGAACCTGCCAGGGTGGGTCCTTGAAGGCCAGCTGGGCCAGGTTCTCCCTTAGCACCGGGTTCTCCTTTGTCTCCTTGAGCACCAGGTTCACCATTGTTACCCTTTGGTCCAGGGGAACCTCTGGGGCCCCGAGGTCCAGGAGCACTACAGGCACCAGGGAAGCCAGGGATACCAGTGGGTCCAGCTTGACCGGGAGAACCGGGTTCACCATGAGCACCTTGGGGTGAATCCCTGCTATCCATAATTAAAACAGTGCTGAAGTTACCACCTCTACAAAAGTTAGATCCTTTGATCAAATTCTCTACCTCTGCCTCTAAATCTTTTCTGATTCCATTTCCTATCACCTCCCAAATGTCCTTGTCTCGCCTGCTTAAGATCACAATCCTTTGTGACCGATACAACATACCTTTCCCTCTTTCTTTATATCAAAACAACCTGCTGTATCTTTCTCATGAATCTTCCCAAGAAATTCAGTTGGGGTCAAAGAGGGCCAGTCACAGACCAACAGTTTGACCAAAAGTGAACAAGGAGGAAGCATATTCCATATGCAAGTCGAGATTACCTAACTCACACCCCCTCTTTGTGTACACCTCATTGTGTACCACACAGATATAATCTTAATAAGCTTTTGAAGATGTATTGTGTTTGTATAGCACGGTTGTCTAGGGGTGTATACATAAACAGTGAAAGCAGAGTCTTCATATAGGGTTTGCAATACTGACAGTCTGGGTCATGGGTGTAATGCAGGCATGCGGTTAGGTACTTTTCCATTGTCAGAACACTAATATATTGCAAATATTAAAATCATCCTCGTCGCCTGAGTATTTAGAGTTGACTCTACTTTTAAAGTGCATTGCATTATTTAAGTTAAAGAAAAAGAAAAAATGTGTTATCTTTAACATAAACAATTGTTATGTTATATGGTTATAAAACAAGAAAAAATTATGGATGTATAGGATAGGTTTTTTCCAAGATTAAGATTCATCTAGTATGCCTCATTGATTATAGCAAAATGATGAAATGGTATTTTTTTTTGAATTTGACAATTTTTATTTTTTGTGTAACAGCAATAGGGGTACAGGAGAGAAGTAAGGGAAGGGTGTCATAAAAAACATTTCACGTGTCCTTGTTCACAGATTCCACCTTCGGCATTTTTTCCATTTCACACACAGCGTTATGTGATAACAGATTTACATTTTCATGTATTTTCCCCATCTGTGTATGGGTAAGAGATTGTTTCATTTTGTTTTTGAGGGCGATCGAGTATTGTCACTGTATAGGGATTTGGGGGAGAAGGGCGAATAATTTGGAGGGGGGGAGAGTAGGGAGGAGATAAAGGGGGGGAGTCCAGTTGGCCGCACCTCTCGAACTTAAGTCAGGGTTTCAGGGGGGGAAGGGGCATATTTTGCCCCTTTGATAATCATTTGGGATTTTCCCTTTCCAGTTTCTGCTAGCTCCTTTGTCATGACTAGGTATAATATGTATGGATGGGGTGAGCTGCATCTTTGTAGTGCTTATATGTGTCTGTTGTTATTGCTTTGGCAACATAATATTACAATGTTCATATCTCTTGTTTAATTATATTTTATACATTTCTCTTACGTTAGGGACACAGCTGTCGGTTCGTAGATATCCGCCTGCATGGTTTCTAAGTGGGTGTTTTGGAGTTCTGTAGGTGGCTACTCCAGTTTTCCCATGCCTCTGTCCAATTTGTTTTCGGTGAGTTTATGCGTCTGGCCGCCAATTCATATTGTTTGGTTTTGTTTGTATGCACTGCTGGAGCTTTGGTGGAGAGGCCGATCACCAGTGTCTGCTAATCACTGTTAGCGCTGCCATAATGATGTGGTATATTAAGTATTTTTGTGGTTTCTTTAGGTTTTTGGGGAATAGCTGGAGGAGGAAAATTTCTGGTTTGCGTTCTAGTCTTATTTGTGTGCTTAGGTAAATGAGTTTTATTATGTTGTCCCAGAAGGTGGTGAGATCAGGACACGTCCACCAGATGTGGAGCATTGTTCCCTTGTGTTGTTGGCATCTCCAGCATGTGTCTGTGGCCTGTGGGTGTGCTGCTTTAATCCGCGTGGGGACCAAATACCATCTGTATAAGATTTTACGGGAGAGCTCCATATGGGAGGTACAATTTGAGAGAGGGCTTGCGCTTGCAGTATGTCTTTCCATTGTTGCGGACTTAGGGTGTATGTGGACTCTTTCTCCCAGGCAATGATGAATGGGAATGGTGCGTGGGTTTTAGAGGTCTGAAATGTTTGGTAAATTGTAGAGAGTAGTTTTTTAGGGGGAGAAAGGCATGCACAGATTTTTTTCTACCACCGTCAGCTGTTGTCCCCGTACATCATCTTTGTGGGTAGTGGTTTGTTTTTTAAGCCATGACTGGATTTGCCTATAGGAGAATAGTGCTGTGGGGTTGAGGTGGAACGCTGTTGTTAGTTCTTCAAATTGTTTGAGCTCCCGGCCCTGCAGCATTTGGTGTAGGAATCTGATGCCATGTCGTTGCCAAATGGCATGGTTGAAATTTGGTATTATATGGTGGAGAGCTTTTATTGGAGTGGCAGGGGAGAGTTTACCTTTCCATTTCTTTTTGTGGCAGTACAGGTCCCATATGTGTAGGGTGAGTGTTGTTGTTGGGAGCATAATTTTCCCATTGGCGTGGTGTGCCTCTATGTCCGACCATTGGGTTGTTTGGTCTTTGTTGCATTCTGCTAGGAGTGGGCTGAGGATTGCTGCTTGGTAGTAGTTGTGTATGTTTGGTACCCCCATCCCTCCCTGTGTTCGTGGCAGATATAGAATATTTTTGGATATTCTTGGTTTCTTGCCATCCCATATGTACGACATTATGACTTTTTGCGCTTCTTGAAGGAAGTGGCTTGGTAATTTTATAGGGAGTGTTCGAAAGAGGTATTGTAGCTTCGGTAAGATTATCATTTTTATAGCAGCCATTCTGCCCAACCATGATATGTATTTACCTCTCCACCCTGTTAGTATATTTTTGATTTCCCTTAGGGTTTTTTGGTAGTTTGTCTTGTATAGGTTTGATAGTGAGGGGGTGATGTTGATCCCTAGGAATTTGAGGTGGTCTTTTCTCCAGTCGTAGTTAAAGGACTTTCGGAGATTGTCCAGTGTTGCTTGTGTTTTGGCGACGTTGAGCTTATAGTGGGAGCATTTGCTATAACATGCTAGGGTGTTGTGGAAGTTTGGCAGTGAGATGTGAGGTTGTTCTAGGGTGAGGAGTATATCATCCGCGAATAGGGTGATTTTGTATTCTCTGTTATTTCTTTTTATGCCGTGGATGTTGGGGTTGTCTCTTATAAGTTGTGTAAGTGGTTCTAGTGACAGGATGTAGAGAATAGGTGAGATTGGACATCCCTGCCTAGTACCGTTTGTGATGTCGAATTGTTTGGAGACGAAGCCCCCCTTGGTCACCCTTGCTGTCGGTACAGAGTACAATGCCTCCACTAGCTGCATGAATGTGTTGGGGAATCTGAATTTGTATAGGACTGCACGGAGGAAGGGCCAGTGCAGCCTGTCAAAAGCTTTTTCAGCATCCAATGAGAGCAGCAGACACTGGTCCCTCCCCTCGCGCCCCCCCCCCCCTCAAGTAAGTTTAGGATCTTACACGTGCCATCCGCTCCCTGTCTGCCACCGACAAATCCTACTTGGTCATCATGTATGATCGTGGGTATGATGGCTGTTAGTCTATTTGCGAAAATTTTTGCTAGTAATTTGATGTCGGTGTTCAGGAGTGAGATTGGCCTCAGATTTTGGCACTTGTTTGGGGGTTTGCCCAGTTTTGGCAGGGTGGCTACGTGTGCCATCAGCATTTCCGGTGGGATCTGGCCTATTTGTATGATGTGGTTAAATGCTATCTCTAAGTGTGAGGACAGAGTGGCGGCAAACTTTTTGTAATATGCGTTTGTAAAGCCGTCTGGTCCCGGTGATTTGCCAGGTGGTAGAGAATTTATAGTGAGCAGGATCTCATTAGCTGTGATTGGGTTTTGTAGTTGTATGTCTGTCAGTGTTGGTAATTCGGAAAGAGCGAGGTGGGTTGATGTAGTGTTGTATCGTTCTTTAGGTTGTATAATGTGTGGTAGTATGTTGCCATGTTGTCGTTTATGTCCTGCGGGTTGTGTATTTTTTCACCTCCTTGTGTGAGTAAGTACGGGATCTTGGCGTTAGATTGTTTTTGCCTGAGTTATGTTGCTAAATATTTCCCTGCTTTGTTCCCTTGCGTGTACGTTGTTTGTTTGAGTTTTTGTAGGATGTGTGCGGTCTTAGCTAGCTCTAGATTATTTAGGCGTGCCGTAGTGTCCGTGATTGTTTGCGTTCTCTGTGGGGTGGGTTGTACGGTGTTCGCTTTGGTTGTGTCCCTCATTGTGCGTAATAATGTTCGGTGATCTTCTTTAGATTTTTTGTTAGCTGATGCCTGGCTGATCATGTGGCCTCACATGACCGCTTCATGGGCCTGCCACACTGTGGTTGGTTGTACGTCTGGTGTGCTGTTTGTCATAAAGTAGTCACTGAGTGTGTTTGTCATTTTTTTGGGTAAGAGTGTTATTCTGCAATAGGGAGTCATTTAGGCGCCATGGTGTTTTGCCTCTATGTTGGAAGTTTCCTTTTAGTTCTATCGTAGTCGGGGCATGGTCTAACCATGTTATGTCTCCTATGTTACTTGTGATTTTCAGAGGTTAAGGAAGTTTTTAGTGTTTTTGCCAATGATATACGGCAGGTTGCTTCCACACTGTCATTCTCTGAAGTTCTGCCTGTGCATAACACTCAGAACGACAGGCGAATGCGTATTAGGGACTTTAATTTGTGGCTTGGTGAATGGTGTCGGGAGCAAGGATTTGGCTTTATTTCTCATGGTAGCTCTGTTTGGAATGGTGATAAGCTGTACAAAAAAGATGGTTTGCATCTTTCTCAAAAGGGAACAAATGTTCTCAGTGAGCAGTTCAGAGGTTTTGCTAGGATGTATTAAAACTAGGAGGGGGGGGCAAAAGGGTGATAAAACATCAATCCAATTGTCCCCAAAACAAGGACAGAAGGTGCCTGTAGCAAGTGTGTTAAAAAATGATAAGCTTAGAGTCATGTCTACAAATGCACGCAGTTTAGGGAATAAGATCCATGAACTTGTGGCAATAATGGCAACTGATAGTGTAGATTTAGTCGCTGTTACTGAGACATGGTACAATGAGAAAAATGACTGGGATATAGCAATACCAGGGTACTCTTTATATAGGAAAGATAGGGAAGGCAAGAAAGGGGAGGGGTGGCCTTGTATGTGAAGGATAGCATAAAATCTAGCCTAATAAAAGTTAGTGAGGCAAACATAGAGTCCGTTTGGGCTACGTTAGAATTTGGTAATCACACAGTAACTCGTGTAGGTGTGATTTATAGGCCCCCAGGACAAATTGAAGAGTTAGATAATCTACTAGTTGAGGAAATAGCTAAAATGACTGTGGCGAAACCGGCCTCGCCACGTGTCCTTGGAGGGGGCTGCTTGCCCGCCTCTTGCCTTTGGACTATGGACCAGACTTTATGAGAATGTGTTAACCCAGATAGCTATGCCATGGAGCCCATTTGTGTAGTTAAAGACTTTGGCTCCATAGCAATTGAACTGTGTGAATAGGATCTGAGCGCTCTTCAGTAGTTTTGTGCGCTCAGATCCCAGCTATCTGGGGATATGTGAAATGTCTGTGTGTTATGTGAAAAGGTTACTTTATGTATTTTAAAGTGTTTTGTGTCTTTTTGCAACCATGTGCTTAATGGAGTCTTGTGTCTGTCCTGGGAGATAATTGAATTACTCTCCAGGATAGAAGACTCTGAAACTGGTTTGGGCCAGAAAGCCATGCTTCATTTAGTCACAAAGGACTTTCCCTTAACTTTTGAACCCCTGGTCTGATTCGTGCCATTTTTTAATATGTTGTTGCCCTGAATGGATTGATTATGAAAATGTATGTTTTATGTTTGTGACATGTATATTTTAGAAGTTATAAATATTGTGTAAAAACTGTATTCCTCTGCCGGTGATAATGAGATTACCCATTGTGTTCAGTAATCATATCACCTGCAGTGGGGAGGATTTTATGTGGGAGTGTCTGGGTGTATTGTACGGATTGATTGGTTGTTTTGTAACGCCCTGTGGGCTGTACTATGTTTGGGAATTGGGAATAAAAGAGACTGTATGTGACAGTACAGGGAGTTCCTGTTTTTAACCCTCAAAGTGAAGTGTCGTCTCATTATTGGGGGAAGGATTTATTGTATGCTGTTCCAGTTTGACTGCTAGGAGAGTAAACCTATTCGTATGGTTCCTATTTAACTGTCTACAGCATTCAGATGCTTGAGAGCATTCATATGCTCCTACGGTTCAGTGGTTTTGGTGTCTGCTGCAGTGCTTGGAGTCCTCAGGAAGCGCTAGGAGCATCCTTCAACGGAGGTACCCAGTCGGGGTGCCAGGCGATCCGTTACATTGGTGGCAGCGGTGGGATGGCGTCCTAGGGCGAGGTAAAGCAGCTCAGAGACACCGTTCGTGGAGTTACAAATTGAGGGCAACGCTAGCACACGTGCAGCGCCCCTGGGAGCAGAGGTATCCAGCGACTTGGAGCAGACAAGTATGGAAGGCTCTGGCGATGATTGGATGGCCGAGGTGAGGCAGCGAGTGGCCCAGTATGGGGATGATTTACCCATGGAGGTACGCCGGGTGATCTGGAACCAGGTCACGGCCGAGCGAAACACAAGGCTGGCCCGAGAATTCCAGCTGGCGAAAGAGAGAGAGTATGCTCAGCGGAAGGAGTGTTACAGCAGCCGAGTAGAGGCTGCATCCGAGGAGGCTAGCCGTCTCCCCCTGAGGCGGCCGCAGGAACCCGAAGTAGGGGTCCTCATAGACTGGTCCTGTGAGGAACCACAACAGGCAGGTGGAGATGGGACTGGCCCAGATCCCCAGCAGCAGCCGGAGTTGCCAGGTGCGGAAGCAGGTGGTCCTTACTCACAAATGTTGAGGGACCTCACAGACTGGTCCTGGGAAGACCCACAGATGGCAGGTGGAGATGGGACGGCGGTCTCTCTACCGGCCCTACAGGGATGCTGGGCGGCCGGCCCAGATCTCCAGCGGCAGTGTGTACCCCAGGGAGCAGAAGGTGCCGTCCTTCCTCCCCAGCGGCAGTGTGTACCCCAGGAAGCAGAGACCGTCTGTCTCGCACCCCAGCCGCAGGACAAAATATTGAAAGGGAGACAGTTGGTCCCCCTCTCCACCAGCAAAGAGAGTGTCAGGGAGAGGAGCAGGTTACCCCCTCTCCCCAGTGGCAGTCTACAGTTCAGAGAGAGGAGCTTGTTACACCCTCTCTCCAGCGGCAGCCTAACCCACCAAGGGGAGATGTTAAGCCCCACAACTATGCAGATGGGACCGTAGTCTCTGCACTTGCAGCACCAGGGGTAGGGACGGTCGGTCCTGTCCCCCAGCCACAGAGCAGTGTATCCAGAGGGGAGACAGTCGGTCTCCCCCTCCCACAACCAGGCTCCAACCAGGCTACTTCAGTGGTAGCGCTGGCACCCGGGCAGAGTACCGCTGGTCTCTGCCCACTCAGCAACCCACCAAGGCAGTCTACCAGCCCCCCGCACAGCCGTGGTGAGGCACCTGGACATGGACAAGTTGCTATTTTATCCAGGTGTAGTAACCAGTTATTGTGGGTGGGCTGTATTGCTGTTTGTGCTTCGTGGGTGGGTTGCTGGACTAACCAGGGCACTGACCGGCAGGAGGTCAGATACCCTGTTAGTCTGGATGGTAAAGGGGAGAAATGTGGCGAAACCGACCTCGCCACGTGTCCTTGGAGGGGGCTGCTTGCCCGCCTCTTGCCTTTGGACTATGGACCAGACTTTATGAGAATGTGTTAACCCAGATAGCTATGCCATGGAGCCCATTTGTGTAGTTAAAGACTTCGGCTCCATAGCAATTGAACTGTGTGAATAGGATCTGAACGCTCTTCAGTAGTTTTGTGCGCTCAGATCCCAGCTATCTGGGGATATGTGAAATGTCTGTGTGTTATGTGAAAAGGTTACTTTATGTATTTTAAAGTGTTTTGTGTCTTTTTGCAACCATGTGCTTAATGGAGTCTTGTGTCTGTCCTGGGAGATAATTGAATTACTCTCCAGGATAGAAGACTCTGAAACTGGTTTGGGCCAGAAAGCCATGCTTCATTTAGTCACAAAGGACTTTCCCTTAACTTTTGAACCCCTGGTCTGATTCGTGCCATTTTTTAATATGTTGTTGCCCTGAATGGATTGATTATGAAAATGTATGTTTTATGTTTGTGACATGTATATTTTAGAAGTTATAAATATTGTGTAAAAACTGTATTCCTCTGCCGGTGATAATGAGATTACCCATTGTGTTCAGTAATCATATCACCTGCAGTGGGGAGGATTTTATGTGGGAGTGTCTGGGTGTATTGTACGGATTGATTGGTTGTTTTGTAACGCCC